ATAAATATAATTAACTCTTAAACTAGCAATTATTTTCAACTTAAAATTTAGAACTCCAAAAAACATTTTGATTTATACAAAAAAATAATCTTTAAAAATATTTTAAAATACAGTATTGTAAAATGCAAAAAAATAAACATTCTCTTAATTAAAATATCTTTTTGTTGTAAATTTCTATACAAAATTTGAGTATGCCAATTCATTTAACTAATAAGTACGGCACGAGCTTTTGTAAGACATGCTCTGTAACATGTTTTGATCGTACGTTGCAAAATCGAATTTTGTAACATATCTAAATACAGTAGAAACAAATCCGCTCATGTGGTATCCAACCCTCTTTCAAGTTCGTAAGCATTGCTTATAGATTCACTTCTAAAACATCAATTGACACATGTCAATTACAAACTAAGAGCATCAAATAAATCTATGCTCTTTGGCAAAGTATTTGAAATTATATTTCATTCTCTTTATTTAATGGTTTAGAAAAAAAAGTATAAATAATTACATCATAAAAATACAGTTTTTTTTTAAAAAAAAATAAAGATTTAAATAAAATCCTAATCTACATAAATCTTTGTAAATGCAATGAAAAAATTAAATGATTGAATGAAATAATGTTGGATATTCTTAAAATGTATTAAAGAATGTTACATGGAAGATGAAAAACTGAAAAAACTATGTAAAGATTTGGCAATAGAATCTTAAGTTTCTTGAACTTTACATTCTAAATTGAATGAGCTACTATTTCCATCAGACTGTACTGATTCATCGTCATCCGGTAAATTTATATCTTCTTCATCAGTTGATGATGCTGAATTTAGCACATCATCCTGTTCATCCTGTTCATCCTGTTCTTGCGGTGACATAGTATCAATATCGTCATTATTTATCATATACGTTTCAATATGTGACTCATCAGCCATTAAATCGTCTATATTCACTGATGATTTGCCATCATCAAATTCTTCAAAATCATGTTCAGCATCACTAAGCGTTTTACTATGAAATGTTGTTGATATGGTCATGGCTCTTCCATTTAAATTACCAGATATATTTCCATTATTACTAAGGACATCATCGCTCAAAATAAAATATTCGTTCAAATCTTGAAGTTTCGACACAATATCTTGAATTTTATGATCTGTTGATGTCTCATCGCTATATCCCCTATTCATGTCAATATTAATATCAGAAAATAGTAGATAGTCTGGATCATCTTGACAATTAGGGTCCTGTTGAGGGACTTTTTTACACGTATAGCAGATTGCATGTACATTTAATCTTGTAGCCTCCATGGCTGCTTGTCGATCAGGAATTGCCCAACCATGTTCATCGGGATCACCAAATAGGCTGGCAGCACCATCTATCTCCTTTCCCCTTCTCGAGTTAAGACTCATGCGCATTATTTGTTTGTCTTTCGCAGGGGAAACTGAAATAGTTATGGATTCATCAAGTACTTCTAAAGCCTCTTGTGAATATGACGAATTTAAAAGACGGAGAAGTGGTAGAATTAATTCAGAGCCTATTTTAGTAAACTCATCTCTTTGTGTATCAATATGTGGTAATAACATCTTAAGAATTGTCATTGTTTTAAGTTTGTAATATGGAGTTTTGTTTGCAAGGAGACTCATGAGAAACAATAAGATCTGCACTTCATAATCTGGAAAATAATTGTCTCTGAGAACTAAAATGACCTGTTTTAAACAATCGTCTTTAGTTCTGAATCTTCCTTTATTATAAGAGTTCAGTACGTTAAGGAGGTTATGTCGACTTTGTTGTTCTGCAATTTCTGATAAATATTTTGCCCACTCTTTACATTCTTCTCGAATGCTCTCATCTTCTAATGAATGAACAAGTCGCGGAAGATTAGCAAGAAGTAAATATAAATATCGTTCTGGTGTAGGATCTATTAGTCGAACATCATGTATAAATAGCAATTTTTTAAGCATATCGAACGTTTTTTGGCACGCTGTAGATGAACCAATTCCTTTCATTAATAAAGGTTGAACTCCATTAAATGATCCAAGCCATTTCTCTGGAAAGAAACTCCAAAATATTTCATGATTTTCTTCATCACAAACATTGTATTTATCTAAAATTTTATCCAGGATGGATAATGCTTCCAAATATTCGGGTTCATTCGTAGTTTGAAGACATGCAATAATTGCCCACAACAATTGTGGAAATATTTCTTTTGTATCAGGTTCAAGTCCATCTACAACATGACTAATTGTAATTAGAATTTCCAAAGCAAATCCTTGAATATCTTCTGAATTATCGGATATAGTGTTAGATAACCTCGCAAGTACAGCTGCGAGCATATTCAAGTTGAATCCAGGATTCAATGAACGAAATATTTGAAAAGATCGGCATGCAATGTGACGAACAGGACAAGATGTTGCCCATGTTAATGCTATTTCACCCCAGAATTGTTTGAGATCCTCACTATTGGTCTCTCCGTATAGAGAAACACCAAATATAGTTACTACATCTTTAGCTAATTTTTCTAAATCCGATAAACTTTTAATATTTCGATTAGAATATGTTATATCTTCGTATGCCCACAATTGTGACTCTTTGGCTTTTAACTCTGCAACCAAGGAATGACCAAGTTTAATAACTTCGGGATAAACCGATCTGCAAAGGATAATTGAATGAATTAAATTCACCAAAAGTGCTTTAGTCTCTTCGCTTATAAGTGGATTAGGTGAATCCAATTGCACAAACAAAACATGAAATAACTTGGGAAGATGAAACTCAAAAACAGGCCCAGCTTCTATTGCCATATCTACCATATATAACATCGCTAATTGACCAGATGAAAATACAGGTTTTTTATTATGTGGTGGCATTGCTTCCTCGATTTTAGCAAGAAACATTCCACTAAAATTATAATTCTCATGTTCTAGAGTTTCTTTTGGTTGA